GAACCCTCTGCTTAAAGAAACATGTCTACATGCAAACTTTGGCAAGTTATTTCAGAGGATTCATCAAGTTCAGAAGGCCAACTACGAAACAGGTTAAGAATTTTAATAATAAATAAAAGAAAACCGACTTAAACAAACCCTAACAAGATAAGCTAGCTAACCTTGGCCCAGGGACATAAACCTCTCCAAACTTTCTTATTCTCTAAAATGCAGATACTACTGTTTGGTTCACACAGTTGAGATGATAAAATGGGATATTGCATTTAAAAGTTAGTGTGGTGCATAGTAAGTGCTTGGCAAATATCAGCTGATGGCATTTTACCTATTATTATTCTTAGCAGGACCTATAATTTGTTATAACACTTTCCTTAGCAGAGCACAGTTTGTCCTTGGATTTCATAAATGACTTTCTGGCTGGTGTGATGAATGAACTACACAAATGGTAACAGGGACCTGTTCAAATGGGCAGCTGACCACGCCTTTCCAGTGTTACTGTTTCCTCAGGTCCCTAGAACAGGGACATTTAGTGTAGACAGGAGGAGAGAAAAAAGCTCTACCTTCCCTTTCACCTGTGTATCAGCACATTTAGAACGGGAGCAGAGTCTCTGATGAACCACGCTTTGGGTTTCGAGAAACTGCCACTGGCCTAGACGCTGTAACCTTTGGGACGTCCGTGTAAGCGTTGCCCTGAACCCGCGGCATTCGGCTGTTATTTTGCCGTACCAAATCAGGGACCTGATTCCCTGGTAAAGCCCAAATGAAGGGTTTGGACAACAAACAGATTAGAAATTTGGCATCTTTACAAAAACAGTTAAAAGACTGAATAAACAACAGAATGTAAATAAGGGAAAACTTGCTCTTGTCTCCTGGGTCCTTGGAGGTTCTTGCCCAGACAAATGTCAGACTTTTCCCAATTAGAGTCCTTCAGAAAGCCATCGCACATCAAGCAGAGCACAGATAAAGTGGCCGAGAGCATCTCCCGAGGCCCAGTTGCTAGCACCGCGCATTCGGTGTCTGGCTGTAGAACCAGCGGACGTGGCTGGGTTTATGCCCCTGCACACTTCCTCCCTCGGCCTCTCCCACACCAGCGCTCTGACAGTCATCTCCCTGAATATTCACGAGGGCTCTGTGGAGTGTGCCTATTCTCGGAGCACTGGGCCTGCCTCAGTTTCTCCACTATGCAATACTTCCTCCCACCGTGGGCCTTTGCACCTGCTATTCTCTCTGTCTCTACAATCTTCCTTCCCCTCTTCACCATTCCACCTCCTACTCACTTTCGAGATCTTGACTGGATTAGGAGCCTTAAAACACGCTCCATTGTTCCCAAATTCCCCCTTCACAGCACTTGTCACAGCTTGTCACTGAATATTTGCACTTCTGTTTGAGTCAAGTCTGTCTCCCTTCCTGACAGTACACTGCACCCTGGAAGCAAGTACACCTGCCTTGTTCACCTCTCAGCCCCCAGCATGTCGTGGAGAGCTTGTCACATAGCAGGGCCTCAGTATGAATGAAAGACAGTATAATTATCCTCATTTTATAGGTGAAGGAAGGGACCCAGAGAAAGAAGTTATCTCTTAAGGTCACAGGCCATTAGCAAAAGGACTGACCCTTGAACCCAACAATCGTGGCTCTAAGCCAGTTCACACCACTCCTGTGCTGCCTAGGAGGGCAGTTTTCTTGCCATTTCTGGGGAATATCATTTCAGGTTTCAGTGCCACCATCAAGGGAGAGTGTCCAAGCCAATCACAGGCCCAGCTCTCAGGAGCAGCAGAACCTGCCCTGCCCACTCCCTTGCCTGTGGCTGACATCCCTCCCCCAAACGCCCACAGCCCAAGTAGCATGACTCTAGCATTGGACAGCCTCGTCCCCCTCATTCCAGGACCACTCAGCATCTCTCAAATCAGGTCCTTGAGGGCCCTGCAATTACTCCCACTCTCCCCAGAGCCAGGAGGGTAGGGATGGAGATAATTAAGGGGGAGGGTGACAGGCCTTCTTCCTCACCAAGAATATCTCCTGCCTTCTGGAGGCATTTATGTCCAAGGCTTAATTGTACATTCTCTCTCATGATCACAAAGCTTTTCACTGCACCACTTAACTCTTTCAGCATTCTGTGACACTCTGGTTAGAAGCAGGGCTTGGAAGAAGCTGATTCGTGAAGCCGGGAGCTCAGGAGTACAGGGACCTCGACTGACTTGCTCACTGCTGCAGTGCTGGGCACTCAGGCGATGCTCTATAGGTGTTTGTTCCATGAATGAACTGAGAGGTTACCACATGTCAGGAACTTAGCAGACCTCTATATGCAGGGACTGTTAAAAGCTGATTTGACAGGCTAGGAAGCCTAGGTTCAGAAAGTTAAGAGACTCGCTGAAGGTCAAGACTTAGGAAGCAGTGGAACTGGGATTGAAAGCAGCAAATAGGGAAAGATTAGGATTGGAAATTCAGGCAGGAAGGTGAGAGAGCAGATGATGTTAATTACTCTGCAGGTGTGAATGTGGAGGCAATCTCAACTCTAGGAAGTGCGTTCACCAGGGAAGGGGGAGAGGAATATCAGGCAACAAATTTTTGAGCCAAGTGCAAAGTCCAGATTCCCAAGGTGGACAGGGTACATAAAGATATCATGCTGTTTTTGGAGACTCAGGTGGGCTTCCTAGCATGTAGCACAGGGTCCTGCTGCAGAAACCACTCAGGGACCCAGGCACTGAGGGATGGATGCTAATGGGAAGGGGGAGGTCTAGTCCTTGCAGGGACCTGAGAGAGCAGACAGGACCTGGGTCCCAGGAAGGGAAGTTATAAGGCCAATCCTGTTCTTCCCCTGCGTGGTCTGGTTCTCACACAGCTGTCTTCCTCCCTTGGGGTCTCACTTTCCCATCTAAATAATGGGGGTTATTACCTTACAGTCTCAAGTGACCTCTTGGATCCTCCCACATTTATCACCTGTGCGACTATACATACAAGTACTGGTAATCTGTAGTCACAGCATCCTAGGGATGGCCACCTAGCCCGATTCAACACAGGAATTTCTGCTCCAGCCTTTGAGCAGGTGGTAAGAGATTCTGTTGAATAGCTCTAGGCCTGCAGTTCGTAACAGGACAATTTTGCCTCTGGGGGACACTTAGCAACAATATCTGAGATGTTTGTGGTTCTCACAGTGGGAAGGAGGTACGTTATTGGCATCTCATCGGAAGAGGCCAGGGGTGCTACAAAATACCCTGCAATACACAGGACAGTCCCCATACCAAAGAATTATCTGGCCTAAAAGGTCAACTGTGCCATGGTTGAGAAACCCTGCCCTAGGCAAAGGGACTGTCATTCCATCTCGCAGGACTCCTGGACCTGGGTGCTTGCGGCTATAAGCGGCTTGGTAGGAAGACACACTCTGCAGTTGCCTGCCTGGCCTCAGATCTGCACTGCAGGGAAACAGCAAGGAGGGGCCCTCACTCCTTTCCAAGACGGCTGGCTACTCACACATCTGGAGATGGCTAATCGTAGCGGTTCAGCCAACAGTGAATACCTGGAGAGCTTGTGGGGCCCATGTCCGGAGCAAGGACCCTGGGGAAGCAGGCCAAGACTCTAGGGCAAGCGGGAGGGGACCGGGTGTGAACAAAGGGGTTTGGGGAGTCAGGAAGGAGGGAGTGTGTTAGGTTATGGGTGGAGTCGGAGGCACCTGGGGGTTTATGAAGTACATGGTGACTAAACTGGGTCTAGAATGGTAGGGTTCTCAAAAGGGGCATGGAAAGACAATTGTTCTATTGAAGACAAGGCATGCAAGCACAGCCCAGAGGCATGAAGGCCGTGAGTTCATTGAGGGGCGGAACTCCAGGTCAGCCACAGAGACAGGCCTGGTGCACCCCCGCCCACCCACCTTTGCACCCCAGCCACGCTGGCTCCCCTAGGTCTCCAACACTTGCCGTTTCTTTACCCACCTCAGAGCCTGGAGGATTCTGTCCCCGCAGGTTGGCGCACCCCATCCCTCCCCTCTTTGCCTAGTTAATACCCACTCATCCTTCCGGCCCCAGCTCTTCCTCTGGCAGCCTTTCCGGATGCCCCTCCTCACTCCCGTGCTGTGCTCTCCTTCATAACACTTTTCCAGGGTGACACTTACTTGTGTGATGATGGACTGTGACCTACCCCCACCAGACTGTAGGGCAGTGGGTGCAGGGCTGTGGTTGGAACTCACTATGCACCTAGCACAGAGCCTGCACATGGTGGGGGCTCAGGAAATGGTTGTCGAATGGATGAAGAAACTATTGAAATTTGGCAGCTTAACTGCTGGATTAGTTCAAGGCTAGACAGGTAGTTTGAGACCTCATAAGAGGGCCCTAAATGCTAGGTTAAACTGGTGGGTAAGGAGGGGCCCCACTGACCTTTGGACAGGGCAGGGCAAAGAACACTGTGATATCCTCCAATGATAGACTGGGCACAGGATAGAGGGTTGAACAGAGTCTGGAGACTCGTTAGGAGACTGTTGCAAGAATCCTGGAGCCAGAGGGCTGGACTCTGGGAAGGGGTGGAGGGAAAGCAGCCCCAATTTACTTCTAAGAGACTACTTTTTTCTTCCATTCCTTTCTGTACGTCCTGAGAGTCCATGGGAAGAGCAGGCAGCAGCCTGGTGTGCGACACTCAGAAGTGTGGGGAGAAGGGAGGGGACATGCTGCAGGCGCTCTGCAACTCAGGCATCCCTCTGAGGTTTTCTGACCCCTTGGCCTTGTTTAGTGCAACCTCCCACCCCCAGACAGAGCCAGGGGAGCCTGCTCAGAGCACTGCCAGGGAAGCAGGCCAGCCAAGCAGCTGGTGGAGGCACACAGCAATGGAAGGCAGATTACATGTCACTTCATATTAGCCACACCGGCAACTTTCCCAAACCACCCAGAGAGGGGTGAGTTAATCGCAAATTTGAGTATAAGCCAAAAGCAAAGGTAACACTGAAATAAAAGGAGATTGTATCTCCTTTCCAGTCATGTGTGGATTGGAACACCTTACAGAGTGTCAGGTTTGCTTACCCGTGAGGTACATCTCCTCCCCTTCAGTGAACATTTGGTGGCAGCGTACGCATCTGGCACAGGTTGGGTGGTAGTGCTTCCCTCCTGCCTATGGAAGTAAAAAGGAGAAATAGGAGTTCAGACCTGGGGCTGTTGCCTGCTGGGCCAGGTTGGGTTTGAACATTTCCTGGGCAGGTTAGTGTGGTGTTTTCATGGCTCCGTGATTGGACGGGAGTCTGCCCAGGGGAGTCCAGCACTATCTAAAAGTCCACCCTGGAAACTTAGTAATTCTACCCCATGGGTCCCTTATGGCAGTTCAGAGGACTTCCCTGGATGCCCGCAGTACTGTTCTTGTGGTAGAAAGGCCCTTTGGAGGCCATTGGTCACACCTCCTTTCCAGATAAGGAAACAATCTTGCTTTGAGGACATCCCAGCATAGGGCCCTTCTTTGGGGCCCTTACCACTAGTGGGACAGCAGATGATTTTAAACAGTACACAGACCCAGGATTTAATAACATTGGATCAATGGAAAACAAACACCTCTTTTTTTTCCCCAAGGAGAAAGTACCAGTTTGGTACAGTATGCCTTTAACATCTATCCCAAACTTATTAATCTACCTTTTTAAAAATGAGAACAGGTGTGAGACTTGCAGTCTCCACAGCAATAGAAACTAGCTAGAACTACATTTGTTTTTTTTTGGTTACAAGCAATATGGTAAGTGATCCTAGTTTTCCTGTCATGCTATATAAGTTCAAGTGTTCTGACATGTAAGGAGCCAACTTAAAGACAAGTTGAAGTGTTAGTGAAGCAAGAGTACCTGAGGTTCACAGGCATGACATAAATTGTGACAGTGGCGTGAGAAGGACAGACTCTTAGCATGCAGTGGACAAATAAAGGGACCTGCAAACTCAGGGCCTCCTGGGAGCCTCTGACCCACAGGCCACTCCTGTGATCCTTGTGCCTGGGTGCCTCCGCCCCCATCCTCCACGCACCCCAGGCCAGCCTTGGGCGAGCCCCCTTCCCTATTCCCACTTTCCTTCTCTGCTATTATTTAAAGCAAAAATGAAAATGACTCGCAGGTGCAGATTCTCCTATAGGAGAAGGAATAGCTTCAGAGCAAGTTGTGACTCGAGGTCTCCCTGAAGCCAGTGTTGGAGCTGGACTCTTCGGGTCCAGTCACCAGCTCAGCCCTCACTTCCAGCTGACGGTTGTGACACTGCTGTCCCAGCCAAGAGGGCTGGGTGGGCCCAGGGCCCTTCAGGGGCAGCTCCAGGATTTCCACACAGGAGGGGCTCGGTGCTGTGACTGGGTTAGAAGGTGGGGCATGTTTTGAAGGTATGTTTTGCATGTTGGGGCGGGGTTTTTGGGGGGAGTATACCTGGGGAAAATTGATGGATACTGGGGGAGGTCCTTAAGTCACCTCCCTAACATCCAAGACATCACTTGGTCTGATACTAATGAGTTCTTCCAATTCAAAAATTATAATTGCATAAGGCTGAATTGAAGGCCTATTTCCAAACCTTTCTTTGGTGGGGCGCTTGGGCATAGGCTTGCCTATTTTGGAAATGCTTGGTTTAGTCTAAATACTTAGCAGGAATGTGAAAAGGGCAGATTTTTTAAAAACGAAAAAACCCCCTCCAATATTCCTTGTTTTAGTTTCAGTGCTTTGTGTGGCTCTGCCAGTGATAGAATGTCTCCACTGTCATCACAGCAGACTGAGTGCAAGCTCTGCAAGGAGCCTGCTGCTTCCCTAAGCTGAGACGTCACTGCCCTGGTTCCCCCCGCACTGCACCACGACAGGGGTAATCGGCTTAATTAGTGGCCTCTTCCTACTTTGTGTCTCTTTTTCACTTGAATAATAGACCTGTTTCTCCAGGGTGGCAAGAGCACATTGGCAAAACTGAAGCTTGGCATCTTCTTAAATATCATGCCCCACCACCCAGCCTCCGCTGAAAGAGGCTTTGCGCCCATCTCAGCACCCTGGCTGTGGATGGCATGAAAACAACTTGAGGTGGGGGAGGGAGGGCTTTGGTGTGGGGAAAGGGAGGCTGCCAGAGCAGCAGGCACCAGCACAGGGAGACCAAGTTGGTGAGACAAGGTGAGATATTCTGTCTGTTAACAAACTGAAGTCATGAAAACAGTGAAGAAATAGGGCGAAGATCTAGTCCCTGAAAAATGGGGCCATGTCAGAGAGGATGAAGAACCACATATAAAGTTAGAAAAAGCAGTGCAAGGGCACAGGTGTGTGGTTCTCCTTGGCGAGGGCACAGACTAGGAAGGAACAAGTGTGACAGGTGCTCAGCACACGCAGCTCTGTAACTGAGGAAGGGATTGTGGGGGTGGACTGGGGAGGGAATGGGAAGGGGAAATGGAATTTAATTAAGTGCCTATTGTGTACCTGGCAAAGTGCTGGGCCCTGTAGTGGGCAACTGTTGTTTTTTCCTGGCCAACATCCTTCCTCCTTCCAGAAATAGCATCAGGCCTTTCCTGGATGGGACTTCCCATTCTCTATGTCAGCCCCTGTAATTAAGTAGGGCTGACCCTACCAAGAGTCTATTCCAACTCTGGTCCCAGATACTGGCTCAGGGATGAGCCTGGGATTATCTAAAAGGAGTCAGTCCCAGGGTGTTTGTCGAGCTATTAGGAAAGAGAAGCTCTCTTTCCATTGGGGATGCTGGCTAATAGGAAGGACGTAAGCCTGAGTGACTGAGTGCTGCTCCAACTTCCCCATCATGAAGGAGTGCCTTCCTGAGAATAAAGCCAACATGGAAGGAAGTGGAGTCAAGATGGGGAGATAGTTCAAATGCATTTGTTTGAGCCCTGGATCCAGCTGTGCCTGAAGTCAGTCAGAACTACTCCTGGACTCTTTATTATGGGAGCTGATGAATTTTCTTTTTGGCCTGAACCATTTGAGTATAATTTCTGCACTTGCAACCAAAAAAAGTCCTGAGTATCTATACAGGAAAACACACTTGTATGTGTCTCCTTTACTCTCACACTATGACCACACTTATAGATGTGTGAGGTATTTTTTCCCTCCACTGAGCAATTCTTTGTGACATCAGCTGGGTGTCCTACAATTAAACTCAATTTGACACTATCTACCTGGAGAGAGAATGAGACCCTACAGGTTAAGGGCTCAGTCCCACAAGCCTGACCCCCTGCCCCTGACACACACTTCTGATACCATTCTCAAGTCCCCGGCCATCCCGTGTACTTTTGACTATAAATAGGGGTGCTTACAACCCCTGACTTGGGTTTTATAATTTGCTGGTATGGCTCACAGAAGTGATGTTTATGTTCAGCAATCTATTATATGCTTATGTTTACCATCTATTATAAAAGGATAGGATAAAGGATGCAGGTGAACATTCAGATGGAAGAGATACATGGGGCAAGGTCTGTGAAAGAGCTTCAGTGCCCTCTGTGGGCCCCACTCGCCCAGAAACTCCACGTGGTCACTGCCTGTGGGACGCTGGAGGCTTCATTGCTCAGGCAAGGCCACTGAGTTAAGGATGATTAACTCCATCTCCAGACCCTTTCTCCTTCTGGGAGGACGTGGGGTGGAGCTGAAAGTTCCAAGTGTCAAATCATGGGTTAGTCTTTCTGGTGACTGGACCCCATCTAGGGGCCCACCAAGAGTCACCTCGTTAGAACAAAGGCCCTCCCATCTCCCAGGGAATTACAAGGGAGTTAGGAGTTTGGTGTCAGGAATCAAAGACCAAATATTAGAACAAAAGCTGCTCCTAGTGCTCTTATCACTTAGGAAATAACAAGGGTTTTAGGTGTTCTGTGCCAGGAACCAGAAGCAGAGACACATATATTTCCTGCTATTTCACACTAGCATATCCATTATGTTAATGTGAAATAAACATATATATATATATATTGTCATTAAGAATTAAATAACGGTAGTATTCTCCATGGATAGATAAAGGCTCTAAGACTCAGAGAATGACTTGCTAAAGGTTTCATGACTATATGTGGTAAAATTGGGATCCTACTCTGTTTTACTCCAACAATGCATTTTTCATGACATAACGTTACTTCAGAGACCCCCAAGAGGCTGAGAGCTGTGGGCAGCAGTATGGGATATGGGAGCCTGGGGTGCCAGATTTTGCTCTCTCTCTACCAGAAATACTACCTATGACCTTGGAAAAGCATCACATGTCTTGGGGCTCACTTTTCTCATCTGTAAAACGAAGAGGGTGAACTGTTGACTGCTAAAAGTCTGTTCCAGCTCTAAGAAAAGAAATCAATATGTCCAAGATGCTAATGGAGCCTCGGGTGAGTGGAATCAATTGAAACGCAGTCACAGCCACTTCCTGAGAAGAGGAGGCTGCCACGATGCTGAAAGACGGCCATAGGCAGGGAAGGAGCTACCACTGACAGTTTCGGAGCAGCTTGGAAATGCTGGGACAAACTCCCACGGTGGCCCCGAGTGTAATCAAGGTTTTCTTCCTCCTGGAAAGGAAAGCCTGCTTTGATGGTCTCCCATCCCACTGACCCTTGACCCCACTACCATCCGGATGCCTCTCCTCCACCACCCTGCACACCCAGCACATGGTGCTCCCACAGGCAGCTTTCCCCACAGCCACAGCTTTTCTCAGCTCGTACAGCCCTTCACTGATCTGTAGAATCTGACCACCACGCAGAATGACCTCGAGTGGCCTCTCACTGCCCCTGCCCAGTTCTCTGCCCCCAACCCCTGACTTCTCTCCCTCTTTGCCTAATAACTCCCCAGTCTCCTTCTTCCACCTGTAAGCTGCTAACCCCCACGGCTGCCTTTAGCACCCTCCCTCTCTCTCCAAAATCCTGATGACTACTGTGGTGCAAATCCAAGCTGGCCTGAACTTTTTCTCTGAGCTCTCATCCGCATTTCTGACTGTCTTCTTGAAACCCTCTTGGAATTTCTATCACAACCTGTCCCAAATGGACTCAGCTTCTGCCCAGATTGGCTTCCTTCCCTGCTGCTCCCCCAGTTCTGCAGAGAGAAAACCATACTTCCTCTCATCCAGGCTTGATGCTTCGGGGCAACTATTGGCCTTTCTCTTTCAATCTTCATGTCTACCAATTGCCTCACAGTTGCAAAGTTATTGGAATTCAACTTCCATCATCTTGGAGGCAGGGTGGTTGGCCTTTTCACCGTCACTGTACCTCCTGAGTCTTTCCTGTGGGATCATGGCCTTCTCACTGGTCTCCCATATCCGGTGGGGTGACTTAACACATGTCCCTCCTCTCTAAGGTGCAGCTCTAAGTAGGTCACTTCTGTTAGGCCTTCCCACAGTCCCCTGTTGCCAAGTGAATTACCCACAACCTCCCCACCCTGGTACTGAGCCCTGGTACTGAGCCCTCAGAAATCTGTGCTCCTGTTTCACGGCTTATCTTCCATGTTGCGCTCCTATGCCCCTTAGAAATGCTTACTAGTTTATTAGCTCTGTGCATTTGTTTATGTCATGCTCTCTGACTCCCTAAAATCTTTAAAAACATAATCTTACCATGTTGCTCCTCCATTTAACACTCTCCCAGTGGCTTTCCATAGCACACTGTCCATTCTCCCTGTTCTCTGAATGGGCCAAGCTCATCCCCCCTCTAGTTTTTCACATGGTGGCCTCCTCATCCTTGGGGCTCAGCTCCAGTGCATCTCTTCAAAGAGTCCTGTCCTGGTCATCTCTCCTACTGAGCTCAGATGAGGCCGCAGAGTCCTCTCTCACACAATGCCGACTCCACATAACCACAACCAGCTGGCCACATCTGTCAGAATGCTCGCAAGGGCTGACCCAGTGTGCTGTCCCCCAGCCACTGTCAGATGAGAAAACTGAGGCCTAAAAAAACAAAGATGTTCACCCACAACCTGAGCATGAGTTAATGGCTGAATGAATATTAGAACCCAACTGTTCCTGCTATTAGGCTATTGTTTTTCCTTTACACTACACTCTTTCCTGTTTCTAATTCATTAAGGTAGGTGGTCCCAAAGCATAGATGGCGTCCTGTGCCCACAGGTATGGGGAGGAAGGCCAGGAAGGTCAGTGGACAGGAAGCTCAGGCAGGGGCTCAGAAAGGGTGATGCAGGTTGTCTCTCACTGGCAGAGCAAGCTGTGCATTGGAGGCAGAGGAGAGCTGTTGCCATGGTGATGGACCAGCCAGAGAAGGGCTTAAGGAGCAGGCTGCTAGACAAACTGGTTCTTAAATCAGCACGTTTACCAAATGCTTAAAAAAAATGCTCCCATCCTCTAGCAGAGTTGGGAAGAAAATAGTAATTTTTGCTCCATAGTAATCTACCTGTGTTTCATAGATTACTCATATTCTCATCACACTATTTTTGAACCAGGAATAATTTTGTCCAGCTTCTCATTTTGGGGATGTTCGGAGAGGTAAAGTTATCTGTTCAAGGTCAAGTAGCAAGCTAACCTGGGGCAGAGGAAGTCGGGGAGGGGGGAGAAGGGAGTGGAGTGACTTTCTTTATCCTCAGTGATGACTTTTTTGGAGCCACAGGCCATCCTGCTCAGACATCTTCACAATTACTTGTACCCACTCACCTCCAAGACCCTGCCGCTGATGTATCGGTCACATGTCTCGCATTTAATGCCAAACTGGGAGTGGTAGTCAGACTCGCAGTATGGAACTCCATCCCTGCAAGAGGAAATCCACACAAGAAGAGAAAGTTGGGGGGTCTGGGGGTGATGTGGAGATTCCAAGACCTGCAGCTGATGGGGACTGGGCCAAGATTAGAAGCACTGGAGAGCTCGTTGAGGGTGTGAACTCCCCAGACACCCCTCAGATCGATGGAATCAGATAACCAACCACGGGGACCCAAGAATCTGCATTTTGACAGCCCCCCCTGAGTGTGCCTGAGAACCACTGGTCTGCTGCTGGTCAGGTGTTCCTTTTTTACTCTCCTTCCTCCCCCTCCCCATCAGTTCTCCAGACCCATTCTCTTCTCTTGACCCCAAAGGGCTCTTCTAAAAAATTATTAAAAATTTTATTAAGAATTATTTTATTTACCATAGATAATACTTGTATTTGCCTTTGGTACATTACAAAGGCATAAAAGAAAAAGTCTTGACCCTCCTACTAGCCCCTCCCAGTTTCTCTTCCAGGAAAACCAGGAGGTAATCAATGTGATCAATATTTCGCATATCCTTAAGGGCTCCTCTTCTAATTAAGAATTTTACCTGTGATGAAAGAACTATCTGACTGCATTCCTGGGTCAGTAGGTAACGGGAACCTCTCCCAACCCCCTCCTCTGCACTCCATTTTTGCCCTGTGCTTATAACTTGTCAGGCCGTAACAAGATTGTTGTTAACTATTTCTATACGACCCCTACCACTAATAGCCACTGACGTGTATCTTTTGGTGTGTGGCAGGCCCTCCGATGGTGTTTTACAGAGGTTGTTTCATGTAATGTTTAAGGCAGCCCTGAGAGGTCGGAACTGTCAGTCCCTCCGTCGTGTGGAGGAGAAGAGCAAACTTGTTGGACCTACAGCTGGATTCATACCCAGGCAGTCTGGTTTCTCAGCCAGATTTTTGTGAGGATCAAAGGACACAACTCCAGGGTGTCCTTGGGCTTGGCATAATGCCAGCCTGTAGCGAGCACTTGGCATGTGGCAGGCAGAGGAACCCCTGTGGTGGTGACAAAAAGGGGTCTTCAAGGAGGATCCATGGGGCTCAGCTCTCAAGGGCCAAAATGGAGGTGGTTGGGCACACCTGGGCGTTCAGTTCAGTTCTGGGCCCTCCCTAGCTCCAAGGACTGGATCTGCTGACATCTCTGAAGTGCTATGAGAAGAGAGGGACACTCCCCCACTTTGGGTGTAACAGTGCTGGCTCACACAAACACTTGAGGGACAAGTGTGCCATTGTTCCATCTCCAAGTTGTTGCCCTGTCAGGATGGCTGGAAGCCTGCCCTGGAGAGCAGGGGCAGCTGGGGTTTTCCTGAAAGAGAGGCAGCAGTGAGGACAGATGTACAGCAAGGCCTGGAGGTGAGGCTGCTGTCTGTGGGTCTGTGAGATGAGCTTCCCCCTGTCCCTTCCAGCCCTTCTACTTTCTGTGGGCGTGGGAGGTGACTCTGCAGGGGATAAAGTCATTTGTCAGGAGGTAGGAACAATGAGCCAGCAAACTCTGAGTGTAAATGCCAGCACCACCTCATTTGGGTTGGTAAGGCCTTGGGGAATTTGAAATATACGTAATTCTAAAAAGAAGCAGAAAACAAAATTAATATTACTAGGTACTTATTAGGTATGAAACACAGATCTCTGAGCCTTTGCACAACACTGCCCTGTGAGGTAGGTCATCTTCTTATCTCCATTTTTTATAAATGAGGAAACTGAGACTCAAATTAAGTGTCCTGCTGAGGTCATACAGGCTGGGCTTCTAACCTGGGCATCAGTGTCATAGTCAGTGCCTCTAACTACCTGCCACTCTGCTGGCAGATGGATGAGGAGCCGGAGCTAGGCTGCAGAGGCCTGAGGTGTGGTGGGCAGTCCAGGCTGGGCCTCCTTGAGAGGAACTCTGAGAAAACCCTTACTCCCCCAGGGAATTCTGACTTAGGCTCCCGGACTCAAGGATTACCGGCTGGAGACTCACTAAGGGCACTCCTTACTTGGCAAGTACAGAGGGGAATGCTAAAATCCTACTAACATGGCATTCATATGGTCTCAGTGATGCAACCTCAGTTCACCTCTGCAGCCTCCCTACCCTTGCTTGGGCTGGGCTTCCTGCCAACAAGCTTTCTTTCTTTGCATTTTCAAATTTTATCCCCCTTTCCAAGGTTCAGCTCAGATACTACCATCTTTCATGAAGCTCTCACAGATTCTCAATTCCACTTCCTGCTAATTAGAAGTGATCCCTCCTCTCCCTGAATATTCCCAGCCCTTCCCTTGGCGCTCTGACACAGACCAGTGCTGTCTGGCCAGCATCCGTCTCCCCTTCTGCCAGTAGCAGTGCCTTGCCAACCCTCTCCACTTGCAGTTACTGGGGCCACAGAGGGGCTGCTCTCTGGCTCTAGGGGGTCACATCCTCCTGGAAAGTGATTGGTCAGAGATGAGAGTGTGACCCAAGGGTGGCCATGTAAGAGGCAGCTGTGGGACTTCTGCTGGAGTTCTTGTGAAAGAGGGCTTTCTCTCTGCTGGGTTTGCGAAACTGATAGAAAGAAAGCTTAGCGTTGCTGCTGGTCATCTTATCACTTGGGGAGGGCCTGCTTGAGAATAAATTCAACACAGAGGAAAGCAGAGGAGGGAGAGAGAGAGAGAGAGAGAGAGAGAGAGAGAATATGAATGAGTGCTAAAGTGCTGATGACATCTCACAAGCCCCTGGATTCAGCCATGCTGGAAGGTAGTATGCCTCTGGCCTTCCCATTGCTATGAGTCAGTGAACTTCAATTTTTGCTTTTAAGTGAATTAGAGTTTGGTTTCCTGTCACTTTTGAGCCAAAAGGTCACCAAGAACACAACTTCTCTTGAGTGCTCCCCACTACATATCCCCTGGGGTCATAGTTCTTTACATCTGTATTTTGTCTCCCCCATTAGACTCCAGCTCTCTGACTGCAGAAACCGGGTATGCTGTACTTGACTCACTCGCCATGTCCTGGCATGGAGCCAGAGACTGGTATCTAGGAAGTGTCTGGGCCGTAAAGTATCAAAGCTGTGAGTGTCTGTAGCCGTAATTTCTCTTAGGTACTTGAGTGTATAAATGTGGTCACTAGGCATCACAGGGAGGGGAGCTTGTCCAGTGCTGCAGGTCGCTAGGAGCTGGGCCCTCTCTCCCGAAAACCTGGTGTGCCCATCATCTCTCATCTTGATTCAATCCCTTCAACAGCTACATTATTGACTGTGGATCGGGCACCGTGCTAAAAGTGGCAGTGAACAAAACAAAGTCCCTGCCCTGGTGAGCACACACATTAAATATTATCACTGGGGTCAGTTACTCCCCTGAGCCTCAGTTTCCACAGCTTTTCAATGAGGATAAGTACCTCATAAGGGTAGATATGGGGTTTAATGTGATAATTCATCCACAGCAGTAAGTTCCCAGTACATAATAAAAACTCCATAAATGGTAGCTAGTATTATCACCATTGAGAAGTTAATGTGGATAAAAATATAATTGCAAATGAAGTTAGCCTGGATGAAGGAAACAAACAGGGTACTATAAGGGCCAATACTGGGGGGCTGGAGGTGGTAAGAGGTGGTAAGAGACCACCTCTGAGGAGAAGGTGGGTCCTGAGACCAGAGGGAAGGAAGGAACATGTGAAGAAGGGAGAAGAGCATCTCAGGCAAAGAAAACATGGTGGGAGGGCCCAAAGGTGGGTGAGATGCTGTTTGTGGTTGAAATGCAGTAGCTGGATGGAAATGAAGGGGGTTATTACTGGAGATTCAGACAAGGGCCAGATGGGGCAGCCTGGTGGGCTGTGGAGGCCCAGGAAGCCAGGTGGGGCAGGGGAGAGAGACCCACTTGCTGATGTACTCCCCGGTGAGGATCACGCTGCAGGTCTGGCATTTGAAACAGCTGACGTGCCACTGCTTATCCAGTGCCAGGAGTGACTGGCCGTGCTTGATCTCCTCCTTGCATCCAGCACAGTCTGCAAACACAAGAGGAAGCTGCTGAGCAAAGCATCCCGGGCTCCTTGGCCACTGCCATCATCTAAGCCCAAGTCAAGGACACCTCTCCATGAACACGTTTTCCCATGACACTCCCACCCTGGCACCAGCACCTGTCCATAGCTCCCTTGGGCGAGAGAAAAGGCCCCTGGAGCCCTGGCCTCTCTACAGTAGTATGAGGGTTCCTCCAGAAAGTTCCCTGCTTGTCATCCTGACCTCTGTTCATCCAAAGAGAACCCTGTGCTTCTTCTGGCCTGCTCTTATGTAGCTAACTAAGCTCCTGCTGCTGCCCGGGCCCTGGGGCCCTGGGGCCCTGGAGCACCTGCAGCACCTGGGAGCTTGCAAACATGCAGCAGTGAAGGCCCACCCAGATTTGCTGCCTCTCGTCAAGATCCCAGTTCACAATAAAGTCTGAGAAGCACTGCTCCAGGAGACAAGCTTAGCATCTTTTTTTTCTTCTTTAGGTTGGATGTTCAATGGCAAGGACTCTAAGTTTTGTAGTTAAATCTATTCTCTTGCCTAGCACCATTCTCAGCATGAGGATAAATGAGCAGGGCTTACAGTACCCAGGCAAAGGATAGGATTTACCATGCTGCCCCTCTCCCATGTACTTCCAAATACCATACATTTGTCTCCCCAAGCAGCAAAGATGAAAAAGTCTGATGAGACTGTCTCAAAACAGACAGGTACCTCTACCCTTCATTCCCATCACCCTGGAACATGTACTGGGGCCAAAGAATGTGGGGAGCCCAGTGACTGCCTGTTGATTAACCAATGTCTGGGGAGGGGCAGGAAATGGAGCTAGCATCCAGGGTACTTGGGAGATGCTGGGAATTGGGGCCTAGTCAATTAGATGGTCCACTCTGGAGGAGGAAAGGGTCATGTGGCAAAGTTTACCAGAGGACAAGCCTTCCTTTTGGCACCACAAGACAAGAGTGCACTTCGGAGCAGTGGGGAGAAGGACTGCACACACGTTGGGAGAGCCTGGCTGGAAGCCTCACATCCAGCTGGGAGCCAGTCCTGGGAGAGGGTGATGAGTCAGCATGTCCAGGAAGGGGGGTGTGCTGCTGCAGGCTGTGGGTAAATCTGGGCCCTGATGGAGTGGTGGGTGAGGCAGCTCCCACAGTACCAGCCTTTTGGCTACTTAGCCCCTAACATTTCTTAGCGGGACCATCTTCAGTTGCAAAAGGCTTCAAGTCCCAGGCTTTCAGAGGGGGGCTGGGAAAATATTTTGGGGGTTTATTTGTTTTTCTTCTTTTTCTCCTGGGATAAGTATACCCCTCAACCCCCATTCCAGTAATTACAGGTTTCAGAATGTAAGAGTTTAAAGAGGTTGGGCATCCCTTCCTCTTTTAAAGACACACAGGAGTCTAAAGTGACTTGCCCACACTTGGCGTAGAAGAACCTGAGGGTTCAGGTGTCTGGTCTAGCTTTCTAGGCCCCAAATTCGATACTTGTGTCTCCAGAAGCTCCTCAATAGGGTAAATAATTCCACAGGGGCTCAGAGTTCATAGTCATTTGGTCATAGTTTCACCCAAGGCAGGAATCTACAGAATTCTTGACAGGTGGGTACCATCCTCTGTTTAGTCACCTCCAGGGGAGAGCAGCTCAGCCCTTTTGAGAAAGTCTACTTTGCCTCTGGACAAGCAAGATGGTCAGGACCACCTTCTACATATGGAGCTGAGATCCAACTCCTTGTGACACCCTCTATTTCATGCAACCAAGAGTAAGCTGCTTCTTTTCCCACGTGACATGTCCTTCAAATATTTAAAGACAACTATAATTCCTCTCTTATTCTTCATTTCTTACACTTCACTTTTCCTTGCTTGAAATGACCATGCACTGATCAATTCACTGGTGCATCCCATGGATGTAGGCATATTATTGGCTGATAAGACAATTCTTTCCCTCTCCCAGAAAAAAACCCCACTTAGTTGAAGAGCTCCATCATTTTATGGCCACATTCTAGCAACGAGTCCCATCTCTCTAAGCTGTAGAGATCTATCTGGGATGAATGGAGCACCTCCAGTTAAAATTTAGGAGGTAGCATAGTGTAGTGATTAGAAGTTGGGTTGAGAGTTTAGATTGATAGGTTCAACTGGCAGAGGGGGGAATCCCAGCTCCCACACTTACTAATAGTTGTATGACTGCTAGGCCCAGCTTCCTCATCTGAATGTTTTCCTTGTAACATTGGTGTGAAGGTGAGCTGAAATTAGGCTTGTAAGGGCTGAGCACAGTGTGTGGACAAATGTGCCCAGTATGTGGTTGCTCTCATTATTATTCCATGTCCTCATGTTTGTAAGCCATAGTGTCTGCCTTCTCCAACCTCTGGCCTGAGGCCAGGATCCCTGCTGCAGAGAAGGCCTGCAGACCCCACTGAGAACTCTGGGGCAGCTTTTCTGCACAGCTTTTCTTTTCATGTTAAACGACTTGTTCTCCGTTGTCTGGCTTCCTATTTATCGGAACCTTCCCCCCCCTTTTCTTTTTCCTTTTACTCTTGGCCATGGGTGGAGCCTCAGGCACCCCATCCAGGAGCCCACAAGTCTTGTGTAATCACCACACCCTCTCCCCAGCTGGGTTCTGCAGAATTGGCTGTCCACCCCTCATGTGTTAACTCCGAAATCACAGCCTCCAGCTGGCAGGAGGTGTGATGCCACCACCTGCTCTTCTCAAATCCCTCAGTTTATTGAGGTCTCTAAAGACCCCAGACAGCTATTTTTAGTTTTTTATTACTTCATTTGTTTCACTTATATCAGCAAAAATGAATGAGTTCTATGAATCATAGCAAGCTCCCCACTTTGTTTGAGGCAATGGATCCAGGGACAGACCCCTTCCCAGTTTCAAATTGTGTCTTTGGTAGAGGGTGTTAAGGGGATAGGCTCCAGGGCCAGACTGCCTGGACTCCCACCCCGCAGTTTTATTACTTACTGTCTGTGTGACTTTGGGCAAGTTACTTATGCTCTTTGAGTCTCATTTCTGTCATCTATAAAACAATTACTCTTATTTCCCTCATAGAGTTGTAATGATTAAATGAGATGTTATATGTAGAAAACTTAGTGCATTGTCTGACAATAGTAACAGTCGATTAACATTAACAGTGGGGATGGTGGTATTGGTGGTGGTGAAGGTGGTAATGGTATTGGTGGCGATGTTAGTAGTGGTGGTGGTGATGGTTGTGGTGGTGATGAGGGTGATGCTGCTATTGCTGCCGATTCTTCTCAGTGAGATCTGTGCAAGGCCCGACACAAATAACAGCCCACTGTTGTGATGACCATCATGAATGTCAGGTGACGATGTTCATGATGGTGTTGGTGATGGTGGTGATGGTGTTGACAGTTACAGTGGTGATGGTGGTTGTGGTGGATCATGATGGTTGCGATGGTGTTGGTAGTGATAGTGGTGATGCTGGTGGTGATGCTACCAACAGTGGAGTTGCTGCCATTGCTCGTTCTTATCAGTGAAGTCTGTGGAAAGTTACATGATTCTTTTCTCTTAATAGTTTTTGAGTATTCTTCTTAACAACTTTTGAGTGGACACTACTCTTGCTTTCCCAGAAAGTCTTTATTCACTTTCCAGAGAGAAGACTTCACATTCCTGTACATCAAAAATATGCCATGTTACCCTGGCTGGGATAGCTCAGTGGATTGAGCGCAGGCCTGCGAACCACATGATCGCAGTTCAAGTCCCAGTCAGAGCACATGCCTGGGTTGCAGGCCAGTTCCCGGCAGGGGACTCATGAGAGGCAACCACACATTGATGTTTCTCTCCTTCCCTTCCCCTCTAAAGATAAATAAATTAAATTAAAAAAAAGAGTGATTTCTCTTAAAAAAATATATATATACCATGTTCTTTCTCCTTCTTTTTCCTTTCCTGTGATACATTCCTTATGTTAGCACTATCTAGAATCTGATTTTTTCCTCTATCCTTTGGGAACTCAGCAGACCTCCCAACATGCCCTCTAGTCATTTGCAGCATGGACAGTGACAACTTTCAGGCAGAAAATATTTCTGTGAAGTATGTGCTCAGTAGATCCACAAATTGATGTCTCGACTTTGTGAGTAACAAGATGAGCCAGAGTCCTGGGTATTCCTCCCAGGGTAGTGGCCATAGGCTCCCTTGTCTCCCATCACTCATTCTTCTTCACCTTCCTCTACCCCCTGATTTGCAGAATTATGGTGGTGGCATTGAGTAGCCAGCATCTCCTTGAGGACACTCTCACATACAAGACTCTCACACTCAGCTGAGGCACCACCCACCTGCCTGGAATCTGATGCACACAGCAACACACAACACAAGCTGAGAGAAATAATGACAAACTCAGGAATCTTCTCAGTTCTCCTTTGACATGTTTCTAGATTAAACCTCTAACTCAACAGCATACCTCACTTTATATTTAGAGAGCATTTTATACACTATGATGTATGTTCATGTGATTCCTATATACTAACTAATACATTTGCTTTCTACAAAGCTGGGTAAACTGAGCCTCAGGGAGGCTATGTAACTGCTTTGCATCACCCAGAAGTTTGGCAGGCCCCTGGCTCCCAGCTTTCCTCTCTCTACTGCCTCACAAGTGGTTTCACTGGTCTCTAGGCACCTCAGCAGCATCAGTCACGGGCTGTGGTCCTGCCTCCCAGCATCCTGGCTTTGCTGTCATTCTGCATGATGCTTTCAAGTAGTTAAGAAACATAATAGTGTGTGCAGTCAGCCACCTTGAAATGAAAACCTGCTCAGAGCAGCACTTGCTTTGAGCGTCACCAAGGACATCAGAGGAAGGGACGGCCATATGGATTCAATCTGACTGAGAAGGAAGGGTGGGGCGGGGGCCTTCCCATGGTCTTTCTCCCCCGCTCATGACACTGGGGGGACTCCAGTGGAGTCCCCAAGGGCCAGACCTGCTGCCACAGGGTGTTCCATGCCCACCCACCACAGTAGGAGGAGGCCCCAGCATGTTGACTCTGCTGGTGCTGTGGCTGACAGCCCCCTGCACTGACACAGTGATGCAGCACAGGAGGCTAATGGGTTTTCATTGATTTTGCTGACAAGGCCAATGAATGTCATGTAACGTGGAAGAACATAAGAGCCGAGCATGGTTTACTGAGACTGGGGGCCAGGCTGTGTGTGCGCGCACAGGCACATACCATCAGCAGTCTGACAGGTATCTGGGAACAGTGATTTAGACATCTTACCGCCAGACACACTTGAGTGGAATGGACATTCCACATATTAGAATGCCTGTTCCAAGGCCCACTCCTGATCCTCAGTTTTCCCCCGAATCCCTGGTTCAGTGACAAAACATAACGTTTACCATAGCGTGGCAGATGTCCCCCTCATCCCGATATGGTGACTCTGAATCTTAGGAACAGTGAATGAATCAGCCAGGAAGCATATTAAGAATGAAGATTTCTAGGTTCTTTCCTATAAATTCAAAGTGGGCCTGGAAATCTGTCTTCTTACCAGTTGTGCAGTGAAGCTGTGCAGTGTTCCATGGAACACACTCTAAAGAGACATTAACACAGCCCTTGTGGTTTACTCCCATATTTTCTCTTTTGTAAGACATGTCTGAGTATTCTTTTACAGTGGATTTTATAAAATAGAGAATGACTGGCGGCAAAACACTTGGTCAGCTCTGTTAGGGTGCCCTTGGGCACATGGATCCAAAGGGGAGATAAGATGAGGGGCCCACCTTGTCGCAGAAAAGCCCCACCCAGTGGCACAGGCCATCACTGTTTATAGTCAGGCAGCTGCTCTCCCTGCATTTGTGCTTAGGGAAGCTTGTCAGTCTGGGCTGCATGCCAACTAGGTCATGATTCAGAAGTCCTCCAGGGTGGGAACCTCCCCCACTTCCCTCCAGGCCTGCAGGAGCTGTGAACAGTGCTGAGACAGGGAACCCTGGGAAGCAATGCCCACAGACAGGGAGGTGCTCAAGAGAGGACTCACGGCTTGGTCCACGGATCTTGATGGGCTTACTGCTGGTCATGGACTGGGAGCACGTCTGACATACACATTCCTTCCCGCTGAAGGTCACTTTGTCTCCAATGGGGAAAGGCTTCCTGCCAGGGAATGGGGGACAAATTCAATACCTCTTCTCAGGAGGGGTCCTGTGCCTACCACCAGTGACCTGATAACACATGTGCTCACTGCACCAGATAAAGTCAAGTGCAGTCATAGGCCAGACTGACTGGCCAGGACCAGGACCAGAGGCCCTCCTGGGCTGTTTGCATGGTTTTAACACTGAGAGAATCATGGCACTTAGTTGAGCTTACATTTTTCCTCAGTAGAACAAAGTGGTTAGTAGTTCCTACTAGAGCCGTTCCTTCTCCCTAGAAGGACTTTTTCTTTTTTTTTTTAATTTTTATTTTATTGATTATGCCATTACAATTGTTCTATTTCCCCCCCTTCATTCCCCTCTACCCTGCACCCCCTTACCCCTACTATTCCCCCCCCTTTAGTTTATGACCATGTGTCTCAAGTTCTTTGGATTCTATATTTCCCATACTATTCTTGCCCTCCCCCTATCTATTTTCTACCTACCGTCTATGCTTTTGTACCTTCTCCCCCCTTCTCCTCCCACTCCCCTATTGCTAACCCTCCATGAGATCTTCATTTCCATGGTTCTGCTCCTGATCTAGCTGTCCTTTTAGCTTGCTTTTGTTTTAGATGTTGTTGTTAATAACTGTGCATTTGCTGTCCTTTCACTGTTCATATTTTTATCTTCTTTTTCTTAGATAAGTCCCTTTAATATTTCATATAATAAGGGCTTGGTGATGATGAACTCCTTGAATTTGATCTTATCTGAGAAACACTTTATCTGCCCTTCCATTCTAAATGAAAGTTTTGCTGGATAGAGCAATCTTGGTTGTAGGTCTTTGGATTTCATGATTTAGAATACCTCTTTCCAGCCCCTTCTTGCCTGTAAGGTCTCTTTTGAGAAATCAGCTGACAGTCTGATGGGAACTCCTTTGTAGGTGACTGTCCTCTTATCTCTTGCTGCTTCTAGGATTCTCTCCGTTTTAATCTTGGCTAATGTAGTTACGATGTGCCTTGGTGTGTTCCTCCTTGGGTCCAACTTCTTTGGGACTCTGAGCTTTCTGGACTTCCTGGAAGTCTATTTCCTTTGCCAAATTGGGGAAATTCTCCTTCATTATTTGTTCAAATAAGTTTTCCACTGGTGGCTGTTCCTTTCCCCCTTCTGGTACCCCTATAATTCAGATGTTGGAGCGTTTAAAGATGTCCTGGAGGTTCCTAAGTCTTTCCTCATTTTTTTGAATTCTCGTTTCTTCATTTTTTTCTGTTTGGTCGTTTTTATCCTCCTTCTGGTCCACTCCTTTGATTTGAGTCCCAGTTTCCTTTCCATTACTATTGGTTTCCTGTGTATCGCCATTCATTTCAATTAGTTTAGCCTTCATATGTTCCTCTAATTTGTGACTAAAATCAACCAGTTCTGTGAGCATCCTGATCACCAGTGTTTTGAACTGTGCATCTGAAAGTTTTGCTATTTCTTCATCACTTAGATTTATGGGCTCTGGGGCTTTGAGATCTTCTTGAGCCATTTTTGGTCTGTTCGCACCCATTAAGTATGAGGAGCAGAGCCTTAGGGGTGGGGTGGGGCCTCCAGGGCGGGGTCACTGGGTTGTGACACTGTATGTGGTGGTGGGGTCAGAGTGGGGAAATGGCGTCCCCCTCTCTTGCTTCCCGCTGCTGGGTGAGAAGGGAAGCCTGAGGTGTTCACCAGGGCAGGGTCGCTCAGGTCGCTGGGTTGTGACGCTGTATGTGGGGGTAGGGTCAGAGCTGGGAAATGGTGGCCATCTCTGCTGCCTCCCGTCACTGGGACCTGCTGGGTCCCGTCTCACTGTCCACTCCCTCGCTGGTCTATTTGTGCAGGAATGCGCCAGCACAGTCAACCCGCTGCCTTTCACCCTTGCCGGATCCGCAGGTGGCTCACTGGGTCGGCCCTTTGCAACCCCACACCTGGGATCTGCACGCCTGAGTCCATCTGATCGAGTTTTCCTGTGCAACCCGGCTCCGCCAGCGGCTGGTTTCGCCCCTCTTACTGGTCAGGCTGAAGAATTCGTTGTTATTGGACTTCCGAAAAGTTCAATTTTCTGTGTTCTGGCTGTGTTTTCTGTTGCTAATATTTTGTTGTCTCTCAACTTGGTTGTGTGAGAAAGCACAGTATCTCCACCTATGCCCCCATCTTGGCGGAAGTCCCCCAGAAAGACTTTTTCCATTCCAACCTGATTTATCCATGTATGTCTAACCATTCAACTTTTGAACTTCAACAACTCATTCAACTTCTGAACTTCACACCATCCAGGAAGTTTAGAAGTTGTCAGATAACCTCTTAGCTCAGAGGTCTCAAGCTCATACATGGCCTTCCTCCCTAGCTAAGTAGAACTGCATTCAGGTTCCCCACACTGTCAGTCCCATCACTTAGCTACTCTTGCATGTGAAGTTTGGGATGCCTGTGAAACAGACTCTGAGCATAACCCCTGATATGAGCTGCCAGTAGCTCCACTGCCCCTGTGTTAGCAACATGGACCAGCAGAGGGTGAGCTGGGGGGCAGGAGTTGGGGCAGTGTTTGCATCATAGTTCAGACACTGACTCATGGTAAAAAGACATGGCATGACCTTGGGGAGTCACTGAACCTCTACAGGGCTTGACAGAATTTTATACTGTATGGACCCTACTGTGCTAACCTCCAGTGGGTCTGCGAATCCAGGATGCAGGGCCCAGGTTTTAGGAGGTGGATGGATGAATGAATGAATGAATGAATTCCACTTCTTACACACTGTGCTGTTGGGCTCAGTCAGAAACTCTAATTGATAACTAACAGGGTTATTTTATGGGGAGAATAATGAATCTATAAATTCCCTTCCCATTTAAAAATACATATTATATATATTCCAATCCTGTTTTGCTTAGGACTTATCACTTAACCAGAGCAGTACATTAAATTTTAACATATTTGTGGGTAGGATTGAGGTTCTGTTTATTTTTTTTCTCCTTAATGTGGTACTTGGCATACAGTGGACCCTTAATGTACATTAGGTAAGTTAACAAGTGACTGGGATGCTGGGGGTGGGAAGGAGGGCAGGGTTGACTGTCCTTCGCCTATCAGATACTTTGAGAGGCTGGATGATTATCATTATGATAATGAAAAGAATAATAAAAGCAGACACAAACACGTACTAGTCATTCAGCTAAGACCTTTGCATGCATCATCTTATGCATTGATCTTCAGGAAAATCCAATAAGGTCAGGATGGTTTTGATGCCCATTTTACTGATGAAAAAGCTGAGGCTTAGGGAGGTGGGATCACATGCCAGGGTCATGGAGGAAGGCTATAAATAGATGTTCATGTAGCATGCATGGCTGAGGTATGGGAGCCTGGGCCAGAGGCATGGTTTCCAGACTGAGTACTGAGAGGCCAGGCTTCTCAGTGGGCCTTTTGCTGGGAGATGGGAGGCTGAGTGTGGGGGCTCAGGTCCTCACTATGCCTTCACTGCAGGACAAGTTAGTGTTTTACATTAGATCACATTTGACAGAAAGGGTTCAGCTGTTAAAAGGTTTGAAAACCCCTGGCCTGCTGGATCCTTCTGCCCCCAAGATTCTGGAAATCCAAGTGTCCAGCATAAAGCCCTGGAAGCCCCAGAACTGCCTAGGAAAGACCATTTCTTCCCTCCCCTGGGGGCTTAGGCAGAGGACCTGGCTTGGCTGCCCACCCACTCACCTGCACAAGCTGCACACGAAGCACTTGGGGTGGTAGGTACGGCCCAGGGCAGAGATGACCTCACCCGTGATGAAGTCTCGGCAGCTGTCGCAGCGGGTGCCATAGAGTTGCTGGTAGTCCTGGGTGCAGATGTACTCCTGGTTCTTAAAGAAGAAGCCAGACTGGGCCAGGCCACAGCCACACACTGGAGGAAACAAGGAAGGAAACAAGGGCAGGCTGAGTCCAGGGACCGTCTGCAAACATGAGGTTCTTGTTAGATCAAGGTCAGTGTCTCACTTGGTCATGAGTGGCCAGAGAATGGTGGCATATCAGATTCATGGGTTTTTGGGGCCAGTGTTCCTTAAAGTATGGCCTTAAGACCACTTGTATCATTATGGCTTGGTGGGCTTCTTAAAATGCAGATGCCTGGGCCTGAATCAGACCCCTAGGGGCTGGGGCCTGTGTATCTGCATTTTGACATACTCTCCAGCTTATTCTGATACACACCGCCTGAGACCACTGATGTTGTACAGTTCTCTCAATACATGGATAAAAATTTAAGGCCAGGTGGCTCACTCAATGTGACATGGCTGGTAGTATCATGAATTGGATAAAGAATCATTCAGTTAAAAATTCCCTGGGCACTTCTTACGTGCATGACTCTGTGCTAGGTGAATGGCGGTATGGGGACCATGTACCCCGAATCCCCAACTGGACTCAATTTAAAATGGCAATGGGGTGCATGATTTGAAGATTATAATCTGTACTTGTCATAGCTACAAAGGGCACATCTGGTCCCAAACACGAATGATAAAACACAATCGCCAAAATGAGAAGAGCTAATAATGTATGTTGAGAGAAGACCGTGTTGAACATAAATCAGTGGATGACAGGCCATGGGCCAGTGCGGGCAGCAAACTCTGTGAGTGGGGAGGAGCATGGTCTGTGGGGGAGGGATCATGAGAGGATTCTTGGAGGTGGCAGCATTTGAGTTGGACTTTAAAAGAACAGAATAACCTAAGGCACAGAGGCAAGAAGTTACAAGTGATATTTGTGTGGAGACAGGGCTGGGGAAGGGCTGGTGATTTTAGGGATTGGAGGGCAGTAATATATGAAAATATCGCCTGGCCAGTTGAAGGGGGGCCCAGGTCTAGCTGAAGAAGTTTAGGCTTTGTGGGATACTGGGAAGTCATGAATGGTTTTCCACCCAGGTTTTAAAAACTTTTAAAAAATCATTAAAAAATTTTAGATGTATACAAAAGTAGAGAGGAGGGTATAATGATTCTTCATCATTTAGTTGCAAAAATGATCAACTGCCTTGACAGTTTCTGGATAGAGGCAATGTGGTTTTATGAGGTATTTCATTAGGTCTTTGGGATATCCTTGGTGGACAATGTGAAGATGTATAGGGCAGATAATAGAAGAGCAGGTGGATATAATCACAGGTGTTTGAAGAACTGAATCATGTGCCACTCTCTTCCCTGAAAGGACTTAGAAGTGTGGGAAATGAGATTTCCTCCTGAGAGTGGTGAAGAAATCAACACATTAGGAGCAGAGCAGAGAGAGGCAAAGTTTCTTTCGAGAGATTGAATGGCTCTCAGGGCCACCAGAACTACTGAATGTATTGATCTGGTAGCTAAAGTGAGGAGGGGACGGCCAGGAAGGGGCTGGTCAACAATCAAAGGAAGGCCACTGGAGAGCCCGTTGGGATCTGTGACCAGCTCTCTTTTCTGAGTGCACTCACCAAGTGGCTGTCTGATTGATAGGTTGACTTTCTACATGGATTGCCTTTGGGAGAAAAGCAGCTGGTTAGAGCAATGTGGACTAGCACAATGGAGAGTTACAGCTCTTGTTTCCATTAATAAACAGGCACTGTGGTTTTCTACATTGGTTTCCTGATGACTTTGTTAGCACGAGTCAGCTTTCTTGAGCGTGATTAATGGTGGGGAAACCAATGAGACAGAGTTTCCAAGCCTGTAACTGTGAGGATCTGGCCTGGAAAAGGTGACATCATGCCAGTAAATACCACCTCATCTTGAATAAGGAAAGTTGTTCTGCAAAAGCAGCCAGGTTAAAATAGAAGGGACTCCCAGGTGGTTGCCAGAAATCTTTTGCAAGTGTTTGTTCACCTTGCAGGCTAGAGGAAGGCTTAAAGGGCCAAGGTGAGTGAGGAGGAGGGCAGCCCCAGATGTCACAGCACTGGGGGACCATGCATCCCAGCAGGAGACATGATGGTCTGGGAGTCAGCCCATCTGGGCTTTGGTCTCATCACTGTCACTACTCTCTGGTGACAGTGAACTTGGCCTTCTCTTGTCTTGGGCCTCTGATTACTTATATGTAAAATGACCTGAGCTCATTGACACTACATCCTGTGAGTCTAGAGAGAAGGAGAGCTTCCTTCAGGGTGTACCATCTGCCTCAACATTTTAAACTCAATGTGAGGTAGAGCTGAAGGCCCCTGGTGCCCACCCCCTCAGAGAAGCAAGGCAAATGGGTGAAAGTAGTGGTAGAGGTGGGAGGTGGGGAAGGGTTCTTCTCCCATCAGCTTCATGAAAATTCCTCACATCAAACAATGCTGGGTCTGGAGGGCAGGCAAGGCCAGAGTACAGGCTGTTCTGAGGCGTGCAGGTGGTGGATCAATTGACTTCATGGCTGTGGAATTGGTTAGGTCATGGCCTACAACCTCATTGGAAACACTGCCTGTTTTTTCCCTTCTCTTCTCTCCTTTGTTTCCCCTGCCAACTCCACCCCCAAAGCCACCTCTCCGGTGGAAACCGGGAGGCCACAAGAAAACCTGGAACAGTCAGTTCCTCCTTTTCCCCCAAAGAGCTAAAGGAGGAAGTTTTTGGTAGAAAGGATGTTAAGATTGATAAGAATCTCAGGGGCTCCTGGAAATACTTTACAGTGGGGACCATGGGGATAGAAGACAAGCTGGCCTCATGACAGATGTCTCTGAGGCTGAACAGAGCCCTATATCCAAGTAATAGGAAAGGTCAGTAAAGAGTGTGCCATGTGGAAATGAGGTAGAACCAGCATACCCAGGAAAGTCATTGTTACTCTGTGAGTCAAAAACATAAAGTCTACCAATTTGAAAAAAAAGCAGGTCATATGGTTTGACAGTGGGACAGAATATGAAAAGTGCTCTGAGGAAACCCAGAATGAGTGCTCACTGTAAATAAAATGCCCACAAAGGAGACCTGCACACAGCCCTAGTGTGTTTCAGTGGAAAATGGACTGTTCTGCGGGTCACTGGACTGCCCATGTTCCTATCCTACCACTCAGGTGCCGTGTGACTTTGAAAGAGTTGCCTCACTGCTCTGGCGCTCAGTTGCCTCATTTGTAAAATGAGGGGGCTGTATGGTAACTGAGGACACATCCAGATCTGAGAGTCCAGGATTGTTATATAATTCTGTTGATTTTCAATTTTGCAAATGAGACTGAGTTTTATGAAATTTCAAAATCTAAGCATTAGAAGGGCACCTGAGGGTGATCTAGCTAGTATTTTAAATATTTAAATTGTGAACTATGTTATGCATGCAGAAAATACATAAAATATGTATGCATAGTTTAAAGAGAATAATAAAATATACTCCCAGGTATCCACTGTCAAGTTTATAAAACAGAACATTACTAGCACCTTGAAAACCTGTTTGCCTCTCCCTAAAGCAGCCCCTTCCCACATTGTTCCAAACTGTGAGTTGTCATTCCTTCACTTTTCTGTAGACTTTTACCACTTGTGATGTATCTACAAACAATATAGGGTGGATTATGGATAAACATTTTGATACAAGTTTTATTCTCCTCCACCCAGTGCTAGAGTTGGTACAGGCGTGTTTCAGTGCCATCTCCTTCTCCAGAGCCAGTTTATTTCTCATTTATCTATACTTTGAGAGGGGGTTTTTTAAGGGGAAATCTCAGGCCTCCTGTTAGAGTCCCACTTTGGCCAGGATCTCCATGATCCATATAGCCACTAAGGTAAAAGTTCAATGTCTTCAAGGTTTAGCATAAACCATCAGAATTAAAGCTGGCATTGGCAGTCACAGTGGGATTTCTGCTTTTACTTTTGATTTTCACCTCTTCAGATTTCTTCCTTTCATTTCAGCATAGTAGTACATATTAGGAGAGTTGTAAAAGACATTCATAGAGATTTTGGATTTTTCAAATGAACAGGTTATTTAGAGTAACTAATCTCTGGTACAAAATCCTCTCATCTGTTTCATCTCTAACTAAGCAAGTTGACACTGAATATAATAGTCTCTGTTTTCCCCTCCTTAAAATTCTCATTAAGAGAGATTCTACCACCTCCTTGTGATAGACTGTAAAAATGTACATACAGTACAAATTCTCCCCTTCTCTGCACTTGTACCCTTGAAATCCGGTGCCGTAGATCCTCCTAGAAAAGGCAGTTTATTTCTCTGTGATCATGAATCTGGGTTGGCCACTTGGCTTATTTTGGCCAATGGGATGTGAACAAGCTGAGTCTTGAAAAGGTTTTGCTTATGCACTTGAATTCTGAGACCACCACGCAAAGGAGTCCGAGCAGCCTGCTGGAGGGTGAAGAGCCATCTGGAGCCACTCAGGTCAACAGCCTGCCAGCCACAGCCAGCTGGCCCACCACGTCATCATAATGGGACCCAGAGAGGCAAGCGGAGCCAGCTCTGACAAGAACTGCCCAGTTAACCCAGAGAATTATAAGCTCAAAGATTGTTTTGAATTATTGAATCCTGGCATAAATAAAAGGTAGTAAATACACTCCCTTAAGACTAAAATTGCAGACTTCCGGCCAAGATGGAGGCATAGGTAGTCACACTGTGCCTCCTTGCACAACTAAAATAAGGACAACAATTTAAAAACAAAAACAACCAGAACTGACACAAAATCAAACTGTATGGAAGTCCGACAACCAAGGAGTTAAAGAAGAAACATTCATCCAGACAGGTAGGAGGGGAGGAGACGGGTGTTCAGAGAGGACTCGCAGCAAGGTGTGGCTGACAGACCCAGTGCTGAATTGTGGAGCTAGAGATGTAAGGCTACAGCTGGCCAGTGAGGCTATGGCAGTGGCTGGTGGAACAGGCGGTCCAACATTCACACACAGATAAACCAGGGGGAATAATAAGGGAGCAAGACAGACCACACAACCCAGTGCTCCAGCATTGGGAAATAAAGCCTCAAACCACTGATCAAATACCTGTGAGGGTTGAGCTGGCAGCAGGAGAAACTCCCAACCTCATAGGAGAGTTCATTGGACAGACCAACAGGGTCCTAGAATGTACACAGCTGATAGTCAGCACCAGAAGGGCCCAATTTGCTTGTGGGAAGCAGGGGAAGTTACTGAAAGCTGGTAGAGAGTGGAGCGAGTGCCGTTGTTCCCTCTCAGACCCCTTGCCCACATACAGCATCACAAAGCAGGATGTGGGCTGCCCAAAGCAGGATGTGATAAATACTTAAGGCTCTGTCCCTCACTATGTAACAGGTGCATCAAGACAAAAAAAAAATGGCCCAAATGAAAGAACAGATCAAAGCTCCAGAAAAAATACAACTAAGTGATGAAGGGATAGCCAACATACCAGATGCACTGGTAATCAGGATGCTCACAGAATTGGTTGAATTTGGTTGCAAATTAGATGAAAAAATGAAGGCTATGCTAAGTGAAATAAAGGAAAATGTACAGGGAATCAATAGTGATGGGAAGAAAACTGGTACTCAAATCAACAGTGTGAACCAGAAGGAAGAAAGAAACATCCAACCAGAAAAGAATGAAGAAACAAGAATTCAAAAAAAATGAGGAGAGGCTTAGGAACCTTCAGGACATCTTTAAACATTCCAACATCTGAATTATAAAGGTACCAGAAGGGGAAGAGGAAGAGCAACGAGTGGAAAAGTTATTTGAACAAATAATAAAGGAGAATTTCCCCAATCTGGCAAAGGAAATAGACTTCCAGGAAGTCCAGAAAGCTCAGAGTCCCAAAGAAGTTGGACCCAAGGAGGAACACACCAAGGCACATCATAATTACATTACCCAAGATTAAAATGAAGGAGAGAATTCTAGAAGCAGCAAGAGAAAAGGAGATAGTTACCTACAAAGGAGTGCCCATCAGACTGTCAGCTGATTTCTCAAAAGAGATCTTGCAGGCAAAAAGGGGCTGGAAAGAAGTATTCCAAGTCATGAAAGTCAAGGACCTACATCCAAGATTGCTCCATCCAGCAAAACTTTCATTTAGAATGGAAGGGCAGACAAAGTGCTTTTCAGATAAGGTCAAGTTAAAGGAGTGCATCATCACCAAGCCCCTATTATATGAAATGTTAAAAGGACTTATCTAAGAAAAAGAATATAAAAATATGAACAGTAAAATGACAACAAACAATTATTAACAACCACACCACACCTAAAACAAAAACAAACTAAGCAAACAACTAGAACAGGAATAGAACCACAAAATTGGAGATCACATGGAGGGTTATCAACAGGGGAGTGAGAGGGGGAGAGAGGGAGAAAAGGTACAGAGAATAAGTAGCATAGATGGTATGTACAAAATAGACAGGGGGAGGGTAAGAATAGTATGGGAAATGTAGAAGCCAAAGAACTTACATGTACGACCCATGGACATGAACTAAAGGGGGGAATGTGGGTGGGAGGGGGTGTGCAGGGTGGAGGGGAGTGAAGGGGAGAAAATTGGACAACTGTAATTGCACAATCAATAAAATATATTTAAAAAGACTAAAATTGCAGAGTCACATCTCAAACCTCCTTGTAACAATTCTGCTGTCTTTACCTTTGTTCTGACCTCAATTTTGGGTGATGTAAAAATGGTCACTCACCAAGATACTCTTGTAGGTCAGCTTGCATTAAAGAGGTTTGAAAATTCTCAATGTAAAATTTAAACCACAGCAATTAAAACATGTCCCATATTTGCTTCCACAGAAAAATTAGGGAAGCTCAGTGCTGAGTCCAGTTAGACCCCAAGGAAAGAAATTTTTCTCAATGGCAGAGGAAGTCAATCTCAGATACATGAGGCATGGCTGGGAGCAGTCACTAAAATGAAAAGACCTGGGGATTTTAATTGATCTTAAATTCAATATACATCAATGGTGCAGAGTGGTTCCTCAGGAAGTATCAGTCACATCAGTGCAGTGCTTGCTGTATGGCAGACCTTGAGTGCTGGGGTCTGTTTTGGGCAGAATGGATCAAGGAAGACTCTGGAATGATGATACAAACTGGAATCATTTCAAATGAGGAGTGATTTAAGGACATGCAACATAATGGGGCATGAGGAAGATCTAGCTACCAGTATGTGAAGGGCAGTGACAAGAAAAAGCACACACAAAGTGCTCATCAAACTTCATAAAGACAAAACTAGAACCATCAGGTGAAAGTTACAGATTTTGGGTCAAACCCACAGGACAATCCAACATCAGAATGGCTGCTCTGTGGAATAAGATGCTTGAAAATGAATTCAAGACAGGGAGGTGGAGAGTCAGGGACACTGAGGAAGGGCCAGAGGTGTCTCTGGGCTCTTCAACTGAGTCTCTCTTACTATCTACTGCTAGCTAACCCTCTTCTTTAGGAATTGTTAGCTCAGTCATGTCTAGGATTCTAGAAATTAGCCACAGGTAAGCCATAAAGATTAGAGGTAACCCAACCTCCATCCACCCCCAAATTACAAACCTTACTGAAGTCAAGATGTACCCTCTCTTCTGTTAAAGTTAACCTTTGAGGACTGTCACACTTTCATAGAACAGATGTTCACCTCAGAGCCATGTCAAATTTTAGGCAGGACCACTTAATCTTTCATTCACTCTCAAACTGATTTTTAGGCACGGGGCAGGATTCTTCTAAGAAGCGTTAGGTAAGCTTGCAGGATTGCCACTTCCACCCTGGGATCACCAGCCTCCCTCCTTCTTCCACATCCCAACACTTCCTGTCCACTTCCCTCCCTCTTCTCACCACACCACTTAAGGAAGAATTATCATAACAGGCTCAAGGAAAGTCTCTTTCACTCTTTACAAATAACTCATCTGCCTCTGTTTGTTCTGCCTTATCTCTGTGGCATGTCCCTGGGGTGGGAGCATGGTCAGGAATCTGAGAAAGGAGCTAGGAAATTGGGCCTCCTACCTTGACAGGTGAAGCATCTGATGTGGAAGTGGTTATTGTGGACACGAACCACTTCCCCTTTGCAGGTGTCTCCACATCGATAGCACTGGATGACGTTGGAGCTGCTCCGGGGATTGTAAGGACTCTGCTGATAAGGAACTGCAGAAAGAAATAAAGAGATTCACCATCCAGAAGGCCCTCATTCTTTAAAAAGTCTTCCTTAAGACATTATAATCTTAACTTGAAGAAAAATTGGAAATGGTGCAAAGGATTAGCAAAGTACCTTCACTATATCACCAGGCTGAATACACCAATCTAAGGCATCATGAGAAGGGTGATGACATTAAGATGTGAGTGCCTAAACCTCTTTAGACAGGCAGAGACTTATGAGTGAGCATATACTTTCCTTGCAATGATAGAGGCCAAATTCAAAAGTGAAGAAAAAACAGGCACTAGAACAATTCAAGGGAAATAATCCAGAAACACCATTTCTTGGGTGATCTCTGGATCAAGGCCAGGACCCCAACTTCTCACAGGGGGTTTGGGTCCTGCAATTGACCTGTGGGTTTCAAAGAACTGGATGGCTGACACTACTTCCAGTGGGCCTTTTTGTTAGGCAAGATACATCCCCCCCATACCCCAGTTTTCACATCTAGGAAAAGAGTGTGGTCAATGGTAGTGCCAGCTTCCTATGAAAGGTACAAAGGGAGGCACTCTGGTTGGAAGAAGGTTGGCAAGGGGACTCATCTTAAAGGTGCCTTTGAATGGCATTTTCCATAACATTGAGAAAATGTCAACAAGGGAAGAGGTGGCAGAAATGTGAAGGGGCTGAAGCCACAAGTGGTGGAGCTCAGTGGGCAGCATCTCACTACGTATAACAGCTCTTCTGGCCCATTGAGTCTGTTGTGCTCTTGCTTTGACCTTCTTGTGGCTGCTTTTCTAACTCTCCCTTCCCTGAGGTAATATTTTGCTTGACCATTCTAAAATCTGGTCATCTGGGATTTAATCATGGTAGGCACCTGTCTAGAACTCAAAAACCTTAGCATTGGGAGGGACATTGGCAGCTGTGTGGTTCAGCGTTGCCATGTGTAAGTTGTTGGGACAGCCATGCTGGTGAGGAATCAAGTTTTCTCTCTTGTAGGCAGACCCCAGTGGCACCATGGAGAGAATGCCTCCGTGACTCCATTCTCACTCAGAGTGGAAGTAGTAGTCTCAGAACTTCTGCTCATACTCTATTAGGGGAAGGCTCACTATTGTCCTGGCTATAAAGATGACCACCTGATCACAGGAATTGCTGTTTGCTTATTTGTTTGTTTATAGAAGAGCAAAGGCTATTTATTCAGAGCTCTCAATAACTGGGAGCTGGCCTCCACTGCTGGCATTTTGGTAGAGACCGAAAGGCAGGCGGAGGAGTGGGCAAGCTTTCTGGTGGGAAGAGGGAAGGAGCCAGGTGTTCCCTATGGGCCTGGGGAGTTCTAGGTGGCCAAATACAAGTGGGGTCCTGTGTGACTGACTGGTTAGGGGTGCACATTTGACTCTCTCTAGTTGGTCCTAAGTTGAAGCAGAGACAAAAATTAGGAATGAGACATGGGTGTTACACTGATTTTTGACATTCAATATTATTGTATATTAGTTTCAGATGTACAGCATAGTGATTATGCATTTATACAATTTACGAAGTGATCCTCCTGATAATTCTAGTTAGTACCCACCTGGCAATACAAAGTTTACAATATTATTGACTATATTCCCTATGCTGTACTTTACATTCCCATGACTATTTTGTAACTATTAATCTTTCCTTCTTAATCCCTTCATAGTGTCTACCATTTAGACATGTAGACTTACTGTCTAAACTCTCATATTGTAAGTTACTCTGGACTTATGGGAACTGTGAACTGCAAAGGAACTTAGAGATCACCTGGTTCAGGGGCTCTTGGCCTGGTGTGGTAGTTGTTATGTCTTTTCACTGAAATTTGAATCTGTTATTTTAGGCACGTGTAGCATTGCACATGGTGACTTGCCTGGCAATGAAATGTAAGCAGCAGTTGTGTGTCACGACCAATTAAAAGCCCTATGTACCAGTGTGCAATCTGTCACATTGCCTTCCCCATAGCGCGGCATCCAGTGATATCCAAGGTAGTGTGCAGGATGCATCAGCTTAGATCCCTGATTAAGGAATCAGTCTAGTCCATGATGAACATCTATCATGAGCAAGGAAACATTTCTAATTTTTTTTTTTTACTGTAGCATATCCTGACCGATACACCTGGGGTTTAATACTTCTCTTTAATTAAATATAAAATTTGGTGTTGTGTACATTTTCCTATAGCTTTCTTTAGGTTTTCAAAGATGACCTCTGTGACCAACTTAATCCATCCTCATTTTTTAAAAGACAAGAAGCAGGAAAGTAGGACTCTCCATTATCTTCCACTTATAGGGACCCTGAATCACACATGTGCTGTAGGGTGGAGAGCCACTTCCTTAGCCCTGACTGCTGCTTCTGATGCTTCTGATGACTGTGCTGTCTGAGCTGGAAGAATAATACCCACACAGTCTTTCTCTAATGGGGTTCATGCCCCTTAGTCAACTCAGTTTTCCTGTTTGAAACTTAAGACAAAAGTTAAATGAGTCAGGTAGTTAACTAAGTTGAGTTAACTTGTTAAATTGATTAATACACATAAAGCATTTCAAAACATGCTTTAAGTGGTCCCTGACCACAGGTACCCTGACCATCCTGTCCTCCCCACAGCTCAGAGCAATCTTTCCTGACTCCCCAGAATGTCCACAAGTGTTCTCTTTAGTCCTATCTCCTTTTCTTCTTTTTCTGATTCCTGCTCAACATCCTTGGAAAATATTTTATTCTCCCCTCTCCCCCTAATTTGTGAGAAAAATATGACCCTGTTTATCTGGGCAGGGCAGCGGTCTTCTATTGCTGAGGGAGACAAAGCTGCGAGTCTGAAAATAAAATAAGAACAAATAGTACAATCATCATCGGTGATCAGAGCTCTCAAAAGTATCCAAAAGTGCCCCCAGAATCACTCCACAAATTTTCATCTACCTCTTCTAACTCAACTGACTTATTGCTCAAGAACCAACCTCCAAGATCGGTTAGATTTTTTCCTGATTGATTTTCTGGGGAAATGAATTGTGATCATGGTCTTCAGTGAAAACTGAGCCTTTGAACCATGCAGATAAAAAGGCAAAAGATTAGAGTGAGGGTATGGATTGGGAAGGTGGGCTTTCTGGGGCCATTTACTGCCGGCGTCCCTGGCCTTGACTTTGTTGCATCCTCCAGGATGAGGGTACTGCTTTGGTGATGCTGACTGTGACCGGAAACCCACAAGTATCTGATGTTTGTGAAAAGTGCCAGGACAGAAATGCATGCATCATTGGTGTGATCTCTTTTGGATTGTTGATGTAAGTGGTGATTATACAAGGGCAGCAGTGTAGCAGCGTGAGCTCTCAGACATGTGAAGACCTTTTTCTCTTCAGACAGTACAGGCAGGAACTGTGGGGGTCAAGGGGAGCCATGCTGAGGTATATCACATCTGCTCCTGCTCGGAAGCCACCTCATTTCCAGTAAGATTTTGTATCCTTGGCTAATTAAATCAGCCACTTAATTCTGTGTGTGTAGGTATGTATGGAGGATGTCTTTCTTCTCACCAATCAATAACCTTCCCCTACCCTGAAACACTAGAATTTTATTGTTGGTTATCTGCTGGCTATTATTTCTACTAATTTTTAATCTCAGAAGGTGTTAAGTGATTCATCTCAGAAAGTCATATGATTTATGACATTTGTCTTATGATTCAAACATCTTTTGAATTCTAAGTTGACTTACACATGAATTTTCAAACTGCCTCATGTGTTAGGATCTGCCTATCCTTTGCAGCAATACCTGAGGGTAGCCATAGCCTCAAAGGACATTAGCTCTGCTCACCTGTGAAATAATCCATGAAGTTAGACAGCTTAGACACATGGATCCTGTGGTATATTTCTAATATGTGTGCAGGGAATCCCTGGCTTCTGTTACGTGGCCAATAAAGGGCAGCCAGGAGAGCCCCTCCGGTTGCTAGTCTGTAAGCAGTGCTGTCCAGTAGGACTTCCTGAGTTATGGAAATGTTCTACATCTGCCTTGTCCAGTGTAACAATCACTGTCACCACTGTGGCCATTGGGTACTTGAAATTTGCCTAGTGTGACTGAGGCACATAATTTTACATTTTATTTAATTTTAATTAATGTAAATTTACACTTAAGAAGCCGCATGTGGCCAGGGGCTGCCACAGCGAACACCAAAGCCTTAGAGTTTCACAGGTGGAACACCAGGCACTGAGAACAGGCAAATAAATTAAACCTGCCTGAATTCTATTTGTAGAAAAATAACAGGTACTCATTAATTTAGGTATTCCACCTCAGACTTAAATATTTTTTTAACCCCTGAAGAGTTTTAAAAAATAATTTGCAGTGGGAACCATTACACAGATATTCCCCCATCCTGAATTTGATCTGGAAACAAAAGATTCTGAGCAGTGAAATACTGATTTTTTTTAATGGCAAAATTTTAGGCACTGCAGGACTGAACAATCTTAATCTTTCCAAGAATAAAAGCAAGCAAACCAGTCAGCAATGGCTGTCAGTATAATTTTTAAGACAGAATATCAGCTGGTCAATGCCTGAGATTAAAAATTAAAGGTTTGAAACAAAGTCCTGGTTTACACGCCTATCAAATCTTTAGCATTCTAAAAGCAAATACAGTTTAATTCCATAACTGATTTGCAAGCAGAGCTCCCCCCAAATGCTACAAAGGTAATTTAAAATTGCTGGAGCACAACAACATATTGGAAGGGGAGGGCCGACGGGCCTCCTGGTGAGTGGAGCATAGCAGGAGGCGTGTGCAGCATCCAGTTCCTCCACCTGGCTCTTCCTCCCTCCCTCGGTCCTTCATCTCCTGTGTCTTTCTCATAGGTAGAGCCGGGGGTGACCTGGGTTCCAGTTCTCTCTCTGCGGTCACCTAGTTTTATAATCCTGGGCAAATCATCAAACTTCTCCTGGCCTCGATTTCCTCTGCAGTCACTGAGGGGATTGGACACAATGATTTATAAAATTCCTTCCAATTAAAAATTGATTCGGGCTCCCTGAATCCTTTTCCTGTGCT